AATTAACTTTGTAACTTCTTCATTTTTTTCAATTAACAACTTAGTTAAAATATTTAATTAACTTTACCAGCCTTGTTATTATACTATATACACTATTATTACTACTATAAACATTAAAATTTCATTGMAAATATTTAAGTATTACTTTTTTTGGACTTTTAAACGTTTTCTTTTGAATCATAATATTTTGTGTAGGGACATCATTTGTATTAGACGAGGTATTAGAGCTTTCTGGTGAAATTTTTTCAGACAAATCATGAGAAACTGCTTCTGATTCCAACGACACCGTATTCTGAGTGTTTTGTTCTTGCGTATCCTCTGCCACTTCATTTTCTATGCATGTATTATCTTCTTCTGCACTCTCTTCATTTTCTTCTGTTGAAGAATCTAAAGATTCTAAAATATTCTAAAAAAAATATATTATACATTCAAATGAAAAAAAAAATGATCAATATTTAATAAGTACTACCTAGACTTTTAGTTTACAATTTTAATCATTTTTGAACTCAACTTAGTATAAGTACAAAATAATATTATACAAAGCAGTGCTTTTAAAGCGTACAGACTAATTAAATGTTATAATTTATAATGATAAAATATTGTAAGAAATTTGCAAATAAAAAATATTTATTCTAACTATAGATAACTCAACATGAAGAAGAATGGTTGTCAGTAGCAAATGAGTTTAATATAAGATGGAATTTTYCTCATTGTGTTGGTGTCATGGACGGAAAACATATAATGATGCAGGCACCAAAACACAGTGGAAGTGATTTCTTCAAGTATAAAGGTTTTTTCAGTGTAGTTCTTTTTGGGATTGCTAATGCAGATTACCAATTGCAATATTTCAATATTGGCTCACAGGGTCGAATATCAGATGGTGGAGTGTTTAATAGTACAACTTTCAAAAAAATGATGATTCAATCAAAACTAAATTTACCAGAAGAGRCTCCTTTACCTGGCCGGTCCAAAGCTGTACCTTTCGTGTTTTTAGGAGATGRTGCATTTMCATTATGTAATAATATATTAAAACMTTTTCCTGGACAGCAAGAAAAAGAATCGGARAAGAGGATATTCAATTATCGACTTTCTAGGGCACGGAGAGTTTCTGAAAATGTGTTTGRTATATTGGCTGCAAGGTTTAGAGTTCTAAGAAAACCTCTGCTTTTAGAGCCAGAAAAAGTTGAGATAGTAATTAGTTCATGCATATATTTGCATAATTATCTAYGAGGTTGTTCCAAGTCTAGAAGTGCATATACTCCTACAGGAACTTTCGACTCAGAAGATAAGGATACTGGGGAAATCATTCCTGGTTCTTGGGGGGATGAAGTGAACAGAGAGAGTATATTTACACGTTTAAATAAAACAGGCCGAAAATCATCAATTGAAGTTCAAAATATAAGAAACGAATATGCTTCATATTTCACTACACCATYAGGCAGTGTTCCATGGCAACAGTATTATTAAAAAATCAATTAAAATAACACCTAATTTTAAATGATATATGTGATTATAAATTCAACAATTAATTAATTATTAAATTTTATTGTTTGTAAAGTTATTTTTCATTTGAAAATTTAAAATTGTATACTGCAATATTAAATAGCATAGTATTATAGGAAATATGGTTAACTATACATTAATGAAAGTGTAA